CAAGCTCCAGACTTATTGAGGCTGTTAGATTAGGAGAGTGAAGTCTCGACAAAAAAAAAAAAAGTTCGGCCAAGTGGAAGGTCGAGCCACTATTTTGATTCGTATTTCTTCTATTATTTAAACTCTTTTAATTTTCGTTTGATATATTATGGTGATTCTGCAGAAGTGTATACGTTTCTACAGCCCTACTGTACCTTCTAGACACTATTGATCACGTATTTCTGAAAAAAAATTTCAACTTTACAAAGACAACCAATTCACCCTTCTTTCAGTAGTTGCCGTGCCCGGTCCAAATCATAACTAGCATTACAACACTTTTAATTTGCTTCTCTATTTCGCTCTGCACAAACGAATTTTCGATTATGGATACCTGATATAAACACCGCGTCAATTTTCTTGGACATGAGTCAAGCAATAAACCAAGTTAAGCGGCTGCACTTTGAAATATATGGCCATCATCAATATTAGAAGTGAAAAATGAGTTTTTCTCATTTGATGTGCCTTAATTTGCTAACTTTAAAGAATGCAGGGGTATATCTGCAAAGAGAAAATATGGCCATTCGTAAACCCACGACTTACTTAATCAGAGTTAACCACCGTTGGTTAAACGGCAACGTGCAAAGTTGGGGCCAAAAACCTTAAAAAGCGCAAGGGTGCAAACTTGTAATTTTGTGAAAGTAAACAGGTGGGACCCGATTGATGGATCGCCATGAACGGATCCGATGAGACGTCGTTTTCCAACGGTGCGGCGCGCGCCCTCCGCCGTCGGATCGAAAAAGGTCGAGAAGCTCTAGGAATCGGAACAGAGCCAACCCCCCACGAAGGGAAGCGACGTCGAGATGTTACGGCGACGGAGGAGGAATAATGAATCCGGGCATCGTTTCGAACAAGGTTCGTCGACGTCGCGTTCCGCCAGCCAGCTCCTTCCGCGTCCGGACACGTGGCGGCATCCTATTGGCTCGGGATCTCCGTCGTCTTATTGTAAAACCTTCAATATTTTCCCGAAGAAAAATGAAATTAAGGGTGCGTTAGTTCGGGAGAAAAATTCGTCATAAAGGAAAATACTTTCCGAAAAATCATTATTCAGGAAAATGATTATTGTTCCTTTGTTTGGTGATATGTGACTGAATATGTATTCTCGTGTTTTGATCTCATTTGCAAAATGATTTTAATCTCATGACTTTATATCTAGCACAAAAAAAAATTTAATTTTTAAATAATTTCTTTTTATTTTATTTTATTTTATTTTTTATTTTCCTTCTTCCTCCTCCACCGATCGCCGCGACTGTCGCCGATCGTCGGGGCCCGGCGATCGGCAGAGGAGGAAGAAGGAAAAGAACAAAAATATTAAAAATTTCAAGAGGAGTAATTCCGGGAAGTTTTTTCACCTTTTTAAATTTAGAAATTCACTTTCCTAATTTTATACATGAATATTTTTTTGATCGGCAAGTGTTTTCAGTTGACTAATCATTTTCGATGAATTAAACGGGTGAAAGTTCGGAAAATTAATTTCGGAAAAACACTTTCCCTTAAACAAATGCACCCTAGATAACAAAGTAAATTTGTTGAAATATGATAATTGAATTAAATAATTGACAATAAAAAGTCGAACATAAAGTGCACTAGTGTCGTGCTAAAAGAAATAGTTAATTATATTAAAGATGGTAATTAAAGGGAAAATTCATGAACAATTGAACTTCAACAAATATACCATAAAAAGAAATTGGCATACATTTTTTAAGGGTTAACTCCACGAAAAACTCCAAACTGGTACACTTATGACAATTTTACCCAAAACTATTTTTTTGAACACAAAAAACCCCAAACCGGTACACTTATGACAAATTTACCCCAAACTAATATTTTGACCACTAAAAACTTCAAACACATTTGTGATAAATTTACCCTTCGTTAGTTTCCGTTAAATTGAATTAATACCTACAAAAAATCACAAACCGGTACACCTGTGATAAATGGAGGGTAAAATATATAACTGGTACATCAGTTAATTGTCGCTTGTCATTTAACAAAGCAATTTGACAGTAAAGTTTAACGGAAACAAACCGAAGGTAAATTTGTCACAAGTGTATTAATTTGGGGTTTTTGGTGGTCAAAAAATTAATTTGGGGTAAAATTGTCACATGTATACCAATTTAGGGTTTTTCGTGGTATTAACCCTTTTTTTAAAGAAAAATTCTAAAGTTTAATGATGACTTAAATGTTAACATATAAGTAAGAGGATTTTTTTTGCCAAAATTTGTATAATTTGAAAGGTGTCGGATGTTTTGTATTAAATGAAAGTCAAAATGGATGAGACACATAATTTGATAAAAGTAAAAAAAAATAAAATAAATAAAACTTATTTTGAATTTATCATATTTGCATTTTCGTTTTGGGTATTTGTATTGATTTATCTCGAGACAAAGAAGATGCTACAAGTCTACGAGTAATATGAAATTGCCAGTTTTACTCGAGAATACTGAAACAATCGAATCAAGATGTCATGTGAAATGATAACAGAGGGGAAACACAAAAAACATACCTCATTTTTCGCTCCAACATAAAAAAAAATTATTTCCTTTTTTTAAACTTCACGTTTGTACCTTGTGACTTAACTGTAGTTTTTATTTAACTGAGTGGGCTTATTAAAAGACCATTATGCTATTATATTTAAAACTTACTTTTCTCTAGTTACTCTGTCTTTTTCTTTCTTTCTTTTTTCGAAAAAAAATTATATTCATTGCTCAAAACGATACATGAGAAGTGCATAAATTTCATAGCAAAGCAAATCGAAGCAAAGCAAAACCTACAATCCTACAAAACAAAGCAAAATCCAGAAAACAAGGAGGATCAACTAGCAGCAGTGGGATTAAGCACACACTCGTTCCATATAAAATAGTAAGCAAAATAATCGGCGGCTGAGCACACACTAGACATTCGTTCTCCAGTAACTACGGCTTTGCCAATTTCGGCTTCCTCTATACCATCGCCGTGTGAAAACAACCAAAATAGGTTGAACAAACACAAATCTAACGTTTGAAAGAGCAAATCTTCATGATTCAGTAAGATGCCAGAGCTCCTGTGATCACCATTGAAGTCGGAGGTTGAGGACATATATAAGGATAGAGCACAGGGGTATCGAATCCCTAAAAACATATTTATTAAACTCCTATATTTAGATCGGGACAAGATAGCTCCCAAATCTAGAGCTAGGTCGGGAGAGTTTAAATTCTTAGATTCATACCTAGAATGGAAAAAGAGAGCTCCCAAATCTAAATCGAGAAAGAAGGAAAAACAAGAAAAAAAAAACGAATAGAATCAACAAGAGAGGGAGGGGAGGTTGGGACTAGCACAAACCCTTTGCCATGGCTGAAGGTTGAAGAAAACGATTACTTCATCTCTTTTAGTCTCCATTTATTTCACGGAAAATGAATAATTTTGAAAACATTTTCCTAAAAATGATCATTTACATCGCTTACAAAAATGAGTGAATTTGAAATAATTTCATCGTCCACGAAAATTGTTAGATATAAATTGTTGTCAATAATAAAAACATTTTTCATTAACTAATTATTTCAAGCGATGCAACACTCAGTTGTTGATTTGGCCAATTTAGCGAAGTTTCCTAGAAGAATCAATTCAGCCCCCTCTTGGTTGTCATGCCTAGTCCATTTCATGACACTTCAATTTACTTCACTATTTCGCTTTGCATGACTGAATTTTCGATTATGGAAACTTGATATAAACAACGTGTCGATTTTCTCGAACATAGGTCAAGCAATAAATCAAGTCACGCGACTGCATACTGAAATATACGGCGCAAAAAGAAGGGGCATCTGAAAGGAATAAGTATCAGATGACCAACATCTTCTTCCGAAGTGAAAAAGAAGAATGTGCCTCAATTTGCTAACTTTAAGAATCCAGGGATATAACTGGAAAAGAAATGGCAATTCGTGAGTCACGACTGAGTTAATCAGAGTTAAGTAGTTAACCGCTGTTTAGTTAACAGCGACGTGCAAAGCGGAGCCAAACCATAATGCACGAGGGTGCAAACTAGTAATTTCGCAAGTAAAAGTACATTTTGTGGTATTGAGAAGAAAAGCGACGCTTCTCGTACCTCTCTGAAAAGGACAAAACGGTGCCGTGTCGATTCGCACCGTCAGGTTCTCGCGGGCACCCTCCACCGTCGGATAAAAAAATTATCAAAGTTGCGGATAACGATATAAATAATTCATAAATTTTGGTTCAATACATAACATGGTCTACGAATTTTTTATTTGTTTAATATGATGCATGAACTATAAATCTTCAGACTTTTAATTTTGTTTAATGTGGTCTATGGACTTTTGGTACTTGTTCAACTTAGTCTATGGACAATACAAAAATATTCAATATTATCATTTCATTAATTCAAGTTCATTGACAGTATTAAACATTTTCATATAATTCGGAGACTAAATTAAATATGTACCAAAAATTTATAGACCACATTGAACAAATCAAAAATTCGGAAGCCATATTGCATATTGAACTAAAATTCAAAAATCAATTGTGTCATTTTCCCAAACATCATCGAGTTGGGATGCTCCTTTTGTGGTTGTTAGCTAACCACGGAGATCATTGCTACCCTAGGGGTGCCTTGGACCAAATCTATTACAGTCTGATCCGAGGCATAAGCCGCCGCCCCGCGCCCCCCGCCGCCCCGCGCCCCCCCCCCCCCCCCCGGAGGCGGACCGATAAGCAAATCATTTTCGTTCGAGCTTTTGCATTTTGACCTTATTTTTATTTATTTCTGGCCCTCGAGAAGAGAGCAAATTTCAAAATAGTCCCTCCGAACGTGGAATCTGGTCAGCAAACCCAAAGTTTTCGATAAATCCGCTGTTCCTTATCCGCTTCCCACGTGTCCTCCGCTTATCAAAAGCCGCGGCGAATCTCCGCAACCTCCAAACCACCGCCACCCTCCTCCTCCTCCTCCTCCTCCTTCTTCAGCCACCACTTCCATGGCCGCTCCGTCTCTGTACCTTCTGCTCCTCTGCTCCCTCGCGTGCCTGGTCCCCTCCTCGCGCTCCCGCACCCTCTTCCTCCCCTTGGCCAAGGACCCTTCCACGCTCCGGTACGTGGCCACCGTCTACCACGGCCCTTCCCTCGACCCGGTCGACCTCGCCGTGGATCTCGGCGGCCCATCTCTCTGGCTCGACTGCTCCGCCTCCTCCTCCCCGTCCGCCGTCCGTCCAGTCCCCTGCCGTTCGATCCAGTGCCTGGCCGCGACGTCCGACGCTTCCGGGCTCCGCCGCGCGTGCGCGAGCGGGGCCTCCGCCGTCTGCGGGGTCCGGCCAGAGAGCGGCGCGTCCGGCGAGGCCGCGGCGCGCGGGGGGTGCTCGCGGAGGTAGCCGTGGCGGTCGATTCCGTTGACGGGTCCGGGGAGATCGGTCGCGGCCGTCGACCGGTTCCTGATCTCCTGCGCGCGCGGGCCGCCGGGATATGGAGCGACCGGCGTCAGGGGGACGTTGGGCTTGGGACGGAGTCGGATTTCGCTGCCGTCGCAGGTAATGTTTTGTGTTGATTGCGTTAGCTGATCTGAATTTCGATGATAATGAGAAGACCGACCCTTTTGTCCAGGTGGCGACGGCGTTCGGCGTCCGCCGGAGGTTCTTCGCGTGCCTATCGGCGTCGGAGGGCGTCATCGTCGCCGGCGACGGGCCGTTCTTCCCCCGCGTCGACGGCGACATCTCCAGATCCCTGACCTACACGCCCCTCGCGACCGCCAAGTGGGCGCGGTCCTCGGACTACCTCATCAACCTCACCTCCATCAAGATCGACGGCAAGCGGCTCTCCCTCGACTCCTCGTCGCCGCCGCACTCGATCAAGCTCAGCACCGCGATCCCGTACACCGCCGTGGCCAGCCCGATCTACCCCGCCTTCGCCGAGGCCTTCGCGGGAGCGGCCTCGGCCATGGGGATGGCCAGGGTCCCGCCGGTGGCGCCGTTCGGGGTGTGCTTCGACCCGAGAACCGTCGCCGCGACGGGGGCCGGGCCCGACGCGCCCGCGATCGATCTGGTGCTGCAGAGCGAGATGGTGAGGTGGAGGATCGGCGGGTCGAACTCGATGGTGAGGGCGAGCGACGAGGCGACGTGCTTGGGGGTCGTGGACGGCGGCGACGGGCTGAGGAGCACGGTGGTGCTGGGAGGGCACCAGCTGGAGGACGTGCTGCTGGAGTTCGATTTCGGGGGCTCGAGGCTGGGGTTCGGCCCGCCGCTGTCGGCGAGGCGATTGGCCTGTTCCGACCTGAGGTCGGAGTTCAATTCCATGGCGTTTCCGTCGCTATAGATGCAATCCTTTCAAGATGAATTTGGGGTGTACAGAAGTTCTGATTGGAAGAAGCCAAAGGGACAAGGAACCAAAATTAGAAATAGTACTGGAACTACCATAGCTTTAGTTCTTACAGTTGAGCCAGAATTGTATATAGGGGTAGGGACATAGCAAGTATCCGTATTTTTGTCGGTTTTGAGATCGGGTATGCGTATATCTTTTTATTCAATCGAGTACCTCAATTTTGTAAGTTTGGATCGGTCCGAGGTCGTTGGTAAGATCGTGAATGGCAATGCCAATTTGATCGCTAACACCATTAAATAACTATTGACTATTCGTGTTCCGCATCTGATATGACTTCTTGAGATGATGCTCATCGTAAGGATTGGTTAAAATCGTCAAAATCGGCTCTCTCTCTCTCTCTCTCCCTTTTTCTCCTCATTACCCAACAACCGAAAGAGATAAAGGCGAGTTTTTGCTAAGTTAGCAAGTCACGTCATTAAAGTATGCTTAGTATGCTGATTAAGCGAATCACACCAGCAAAATCTCATAATTTATTTAGTGGAGACCTCACATCGATCCAAACTTGAAAAGTTGAGGCATATGACTGCACTAAAACAAGTTTAGACACTCAATTGAAAATCGGCCAAAAGTTGTATAATTGCTTTTCCTTATAAATTCATAAAACTTTAATTTTGCAGCATATAAAAAAAAACCCAGATTTAGGGAAAAGGGTATGAGAAAGCAACTATCACTGACTTTTATCATTCGCATCCTTAGTATTTGCTCCAAGTTTTTTTTTTCCCAGATATTCTCAATTTATCCCTACGTTCTAATTCATTCTTTTTTTTTTTTTTTCAATTTTAACATTAAAATTTTAAAAATTAGTTAAATATACTTCTATCATCGACTTCGAACCAATTTACGATCTAAACTTCACGCGACCGATTATTTAATGGGTTTTTTTTACTTACCTATCTATATAAAAAACATAATTTTCATAAAAAAACATTATTTTAATACCACGAAACTTTTCCCCATTAGTATGGCTCTCAATATGATATGACAATTGTAAAATCCGAAATACAATATTTAGATACTTCTATGATAACCGCGAGAGCTTCGATTGAAATAGAAAAACCATGGAAATTTTGGATCTTTCCTTAAATTACTAGCTACATCTAATATATCAAGCATTCATCTTAAATAACTTGTCTCGAATCTCTATTAACCGATGCATAATAAACTCGATGCAAGTGCATGAAGGGTTCATCAACGAAAAACAACGCAGCGGAATATAGAACCCTAGACAGGATCCATGTGTATATCGAAATCGAAACGGAAGTTCGATACGTACCTTTTGCAGATCGAAGATAAATCAACAACTGATTGTGTCTGGATGAGCGCCCCAAGTGTTGCGCCTCTACCGGTATCCACACACACGAACGGAATTCTCCAACGATCCACGTGCTAGCGAAAGATCTTGAAGTTCCTTTTCTTGAACGCCTTTTGATTTTCGATACTCTATCGAAAAACCCTAGACAGAGAACGATTCTCTATCTATTTATACAGCCTCATTATCTAGCGGAATTAAAAGAAGTGGGCCGGGCTATTTGGGCCCGCCAAACCGTCCACCTTCAATCGTACGTTTAATCGTTATCTCATAACGCGTACGACCGCATAGATAATTTAAATAGGAGAATAAATTAAAATCTACTTCTTAAGTAGATCAAGGCGCATAGACAATATTAAGTCTGTTCGCTATTGTGTGCGACCCTGTAGGTTCACTAAACATTAGCAGTGTGCCCAAAACTCTTTTGGCCCACAAGTCATAAGCGGTCTCTAGCAACACATTATGACTACCTAAGTATAGTGAAGATCGGTTTTCCGACACAACCTAATCCACAACTAATATTAGAGTATCAACCTTGATTGATTCTTAGGGCAGACCACTAACAATCTCCCACTTGCACTAGAACCAATCATATAAACTAAGTCTCTTTTGTCACTTGATTTCCGAGTTAAGCATAAGGCAGGACAAGTGTCATTCTTATATAGCTTAAACTCATTTTCCCGATACCGCAGTTAGACTGTCAAAACAAGTAGTTGACTCTTCAACTCACTTGAGCATGGCCATGCATTTCACAGTCTCAACTCTACGGGAGGCCAGGAAATCATACCCTCGTTATATGAGAGGGACAAATCCCATCTTGTCTACTCACATCACTCAGCACGCTTCATGACATACCCAGCCATTACCTTTATAATCACCTGTTACGGCTGACGTTTGGCAATGTTAAAGCATGCCAATCCACGTCTAGGAAACCATGGCAGACTCAGGTCAAAGGACTATACTCTATAGCTGTGATGAGAAATATTGATGACATTATATAACAATCCTACAGTATTCTCATAGCGGGTCGGTCCAATACAATGTTCTCCAACATGTATTCCATGTGATCAACTTTATATCTCTATATTCATGACCCGTGAAACTTGGTCATCAGTTGACTCACATGCTAGTCTCAAATGCCATTTGCGTCCCAAAGCACAATGGCAATTGACTAGGGACATTTAGAATATGAATATTCACTCTATTAATAGAGTTTCACGATCAAATCACGTATTTGATGATCTATTAAGGATATTCGATATTCAGGGGATAAAGATTTCGCATTCAACTATATACTCAAATTAAATCGAAATCAAATATAATTTATATTTTATTAATGAACAATGAAAATGTATATCACATATACTCCCACTCACATCAAGACCAATCACTAATGTGTCTAAGGCCTAAAGCGTTACAATGACGCTCATGCTTAGGTTGTGGAAGAGCCTTCGTCAACGGATCAGCTGTATTCAACTCCGTTGCAACTTTGCACATCTTAACATCACCTCTTTCAATGAATTCCCGAATGAGATGATACTTCCTGAGTATGTGTTTGGTCTTCTGATGAGACCTAGGTTCTTTACCCAAAGCTATGGCCCCATTCTTTGTCACAATAGAGGTCCACCGGAATCGAACTAGTGGGACCGATTCCCGGTTCTTCTATGAACTTTCGAATCCAAACGGCTTCCTTTGATGCTTCAAGGAAGCAGCAATATACTCAGCTTACGTCGTAGAATCTGCAAGAGTTTCGCTTGGAACTTTTCCAGCACACCGCTCCACCATTCACGCAAAAGACAAAACCTAACTGCGATCGTAGGTCGTCTTTGTCGGTTTGGAAACTAGCATCAGTGTAACCATTTACAGTGATCTGTTCCTTACCTCCATAGACTAAGAATAAATCCTTAGTTCTTCTCAAGTACTTAAGGATATTCTTGACAGCAATCCGGTGAGGTTCCCCTGGATCTGAATGGTATCTACTTGTCATGCTCAATGCATAAGCAACGTCAGGACGAGTGCATAACATAGCATACATGATAGATCCCACAGCTGATGCATAAGGAATCCTACTCATGCGGTCTCGCTCATCTTGTGTTGAAGGACACTGAGTCTTGCTATGACTTATGCCATGTGTCATTGGGAGAAAACCTTTCTTGGAATCTTGCATATTAAACCTATTGATGACTTTGTCAACATATGTACTTTGACTCAGTCCAATAAGTCTCTTAGATCTATCTCTATAGATCCCGATCCCCAAGATATAGTTTGCTTCTCCCATGTCCTTCATGGAGAAAAATTTTCCTAGCGATGTCTTAACCGGGATCGAAGCATAGGAATGTCGTTTCCAATGAGTAGTATGTCATCCACATACAACACTAGAAACACAATTGCACTCCCACTAGACTTCTTGTATACACAAGCTTCTTCTTTGTTTCTGATGAAGCCAAACTCTTTGACAGTTTCATCGAAACGAATATTCCAGCTCCGTGATGCCTGCTTCAATCCATAAATAGAACGTTGAAGCTTGCATATCTTCCCAGTGTTATCTGGTGATGTAAAGCCTTCAGGTTGTGTCATATACACATCCTCCTCAAGATTTCCGTTAAGGAAAGCTGTCTTTACATCCATTTGCCATATTTCATAGTCATAATATGCAGCAAACGCTAGGATAATCCGAATGGACTTAAGCATGGCCACTGGCGAAAAGGTCTCGTCATAGTCAATACCATGAGTTTGTTTGAAACCTTTAGCTACTAGCCGTGCTTTATAGATGTGAACATTTCCATCCATATCAGTTTTCTTCTTGAAAACCCACTTGCACCCTATAGGTTTGACACCTTCGGGTGGATCAATCAAAGTCCAAACTTTGTTTTGATACATTGAGTCCATTTCGGATTTCATGGCCTAAAGCCATTTATCAGAGTCTGGGCCCATCATAGCTTCTGTATAGGTCGTAGGTTCATCATTTTCTATTAACAATAGACGACGATGTTCTATCACGTGAAAACCATATCTCATAGGCTCACGATGTGTTCTTTCAGACCTACGAACTATAGGTGCCACTGGAGTAGACTCTACAACTCTTTGTAGATCTAATTGAGGTTCCTCATGAACTGGAACACCCTCTTGCAGCACAATAACTTCTTCGAGGTTTACCTTACTTCCACTGGTTCTTTTAGTAAGAAACTCTTTCTCTAAAAAGACACCATTTCGAGCAACAAACACTTTGTTCTCTGATGGATTGTAAAAGTAATATCCTTTCGTTTCTTTAGGATATCCGACAAAAAAGCATTTATCAGATTTAGGTCCAAGCTTATCAGAAAGTAAACGTTTTACATAAGCTTCGCAACCCCAAATCTTTAGAAAAGACATACTAGGAACTTTTCTTGTCCACATCTCATATGGTGTCTTCTCTACAGCTTTTGATGGACTTCTATTTAGTGTAAACGCAGCTGTCTCGAGTGCATATCCCCAGAAAGATAATGGAAGATCTGAATGACTCATCATTGATCGAACCATGTCTAACAAAGTTCGATTTCTCCTCTCAGAGACACCATTCCACTGTGGTGTTCCAGGGGGAGTGAGCTGTGAAACAATTCCACACTCTTTGAGATGGTCATTGAACTCTTGGCTTAAATATTCTCCTCCTCGATCAGATCGAAGAGCCTTGATATTCTTGCCAAGTTGATTTTGTACTTCATTCTGAAATTCCTTGAACTTTTCAAAGGAGTCAGATTTATGTTTCATCAAGTAAACATATCCATATCTACTGAAATCATCAGTAAATGTAATAAAGTACTGATAACCTCCTCTGGCCGTAGAACTTAGTGGTCCACACACATCAGTATGTATAAGGGCCAATAATTCTTTTGTCCTCTCACTTTGATTAGTAAAAGGAGCTTTTGTCATTTTTCCAAC